GATATTAGTAATTATGCAAAGCACCAAAATTTCATTATAATTTTTTTAATATTATTTTAGTATTATATATAATCATTAATATCTCATAATTTAGTGATCAAAATTAGATATCTAACCACTATTCGATTTGTCTCTATAAGACAAATCAAATAGTATAAAAATTATCTAATTTGAATCATTAGATACAAAATAAACTAAATTTGCCACAATACACCCCTTTGCCAAAATACACCTTTTACTTTATATTTTCTGTTTTAAATATAAGCAAAATATATAATTCTGTTAATATTACTCTTCTATTTTAATTTTTTTTGTTTCTTATTATCTAACAATAATATTAACTCTATTGTCAACCTATTTACTAACCAATATAACAAAGTTATTATTAATTTAGATTTATTTTTTTATATTCTATTTATAATAGAATAAATTATAAAAAAATTATTACTTCTTTATTTTAAAAGATTTATTATAATTCTTTGATCTTTTATATCTATTTTATTTTTTAGAATATAGTGCTTAAACTTTTGAATTACAAATCTAAAAGAAAAACTTTTAGTTAATTTAATGCTAAATATTTTATTTTTAAAGTAAATTTATTTGTTACTAGTAGTAATACAATAATAGTGACAATTGGCTAATCATACTATGAGATCAAATATAATATTTGTATAATCTAAAAATAAAGAAAACATAAAAAATTTTTAAAAATTTACTATGGCTCAAAATTTTATCTATAAAACCATCTTTAGTGTTCTAATTAAAAAAAATTTTTGCAAAATTTTACTATATATTATACTTTATCTCAATCTAACTTAACTCTAACTCTAACTCTAATAATAATTAACTTTAGTATTTGTTTTGATTCTATTATATGATATGATTAGCCAATTATAACTATCACTGTATCATCACTAATAACAACTAGATTTTTTTTTATTTTTATATTTATAAATAATATCTATAAGTTGTATTATTACAAGCTAAACTTATATATTTTTTCTATTACAGAATTTTTTTATAATATAGCTAAAATTTAAATTAATTTATTTAAATCTATTTTTACTACAAACAATTTACTATCTATTTTTTTTTCTACTTTGGCTGTCTTACCAATATCTTTTATTATATAATATTTGATTTAGTCAACTAAATACTGTAAAGAGATTATAATATAAGGTTTGATAGCTCACAATTACTTCTATAAGTATTTACAAGCAACTAGTCACACTAAGCAAATATATCTATTTAAATACATCCTGATAAGTTTCAAAATAGAAACTATATCTATTTCAGAAAAGCATAGTCAGACCACTACTTTATAATAAAATATTACTAATCTGATATTATCTTTTTATAGAGAAGTAGAAAAATCAAAAAAAATATTAACACTAATACTAATATTAAAAGAAAAAAGAATAAAGAATAAAAACTAATACTAAAACAAAAACAGAGATGAAAAATGAAAGAAAAAAAAGTAAAAAAACTAATAGATCACAATTATAAACCTGTGTTAGGTTTTAAAAAGTTATATATTACAAGATAAAAAAACTCTGTATCTAACTTATCATAATAATATATGTATCTATAGCAAAAAACTTGTTAAAGAAAAAGAAAACTCTAAACTAAACTAAAAAACTAGACAGAATAACTATTGGTAGTCTTAAAATATTGTTTAATAGATTTTTAGCATTTGAAATACATGACTAGTATGATATTATCGAGATATATTAACTTCAACTTGTGATCTAAAATATCCTAGCTGTGTAGATTATCAAGCCTACTGTACTTATAGCAGATTTATTTTGAACACCTATAAGATAGCTAGGAATATCAAGTATAAATATTAAGCTTAACATTATATAATATATTTATATAATAATCTTAATAAAGGATTACTAGCAAAGTTACTAAAAATTAAAAATTATCAATAAAAAAACTAAAATCAGATTTTATACTTAAAAAAAAACTATATTATAGTTAAAATTAGAATTTAAAACAATATATTATTTATTAGTAAAATATTATAGAAAATATTTTTAATTAGGCTACAAAAAGTAATTTTTTAATTAAAATTTATATCTAATTTCAAAATTTGATTGATCTAAATTATAAAACTAAACAATTTTTATAATAGAGCTAGAAATATTCTTAAAACTAAGATAATAGTAGAATGAAGATAATAACAAAAAATAGTTTATGCCAAAATTTCACAAAAATTTTTTTATTAATATTCAAAAGGTGGTTTTATAAGCAAAATTTTGAAAAAAATTAATTTTTTAAAGAAAGCAATAATTTTATATTAAATATAATTATATGGGCACTTTTCAATAGAAAAGAGAAAAAAGTTTTTAATAACTTTTTTTAAATTTTAAATTAAAATATCTCAATAACTACTAAATTAAATGTAATAAATTTTTTTTTTTGGTTTTATAATTTTATAGAATTAAAATAAAAAAAAATTATTAAATTTAGTTTAATAGTTGTTGAGATATTTTAATTTAAAGTTTAAAAAACTTTATTTAGAAGAAATCTCCCCCTTTCTATTGAAAAACCCCATATAATATAATTGGCTTTTTTATTATCCATATATATATATTGTAAATGAAAACAAAATTTAAGTAGATTTGAAATTTCTTATAATTAGAATGCAGGTATATATAAAATAAATTCTACTCTAAAATTGTACTATACAGAAACCTGAATATCTTAATGCGCAGTAACTACATGGTAATGATGTAGTAACTATATAGTTACTATTAAATTTAATAGTAACTATATAGTCACTATGCAGTTACTGTGTATTAAGATATTCAAGTTTCTACGTATAAAGTAATTTTATTAAAAATTCCAAATCCATCTAAATTTTGTTTTTAATTCTATAAAATATATAGCAATAGTGCTGTAGTATACAATAGAAATTTTATTTAAAAATATTGGTCTATGATTTGAACATTTATTATCTGTTATTTTATAGTTAAAAGGTATTTTATCTATGCTCATTAAATGCTATAGTAATAATTCAATAAACATATGTTATATTCGAGTTCTGAAAAATAGTTAATAAAAATAACTTAGAGAGACTTGAATATGAAAAGTGACAAAAAGAATGAATAAACATTTAAAGAATAAACATTTAAATTGATTTAAAAGATAAAGTATTCCGAATCTTTGAATCCAATTTTCTTTAAGTTTGGTATGCAAGCAAATTCCAACATTGGTGGAGGTCCGCACATCAGTACAATACTTTGAGCATCTTTCATAGGCGCATGCAACCGTTCACGAATCATCGTTTCAGAAATAAATCCTTTTCCATACGGCCAATCTTTAGGTGGATCATCCAATGTATAGTATACTTTGAATCTTTTGTCACGGATTGCAATTCCATCTAATTCATTTCTTAATAATACATCAGATTCACTTCTATTTGCATATATTAAAGACAGTTCAGTGTTGTCCTTCGGGTCTCGAAATACAGATTGAATTACTTGGTATGCAGGTGTTATACCCGATCCACCACAAATTAAACTAATCTTTTTGCATTTATGTAGTGTCTCTTTAGTACCATTTTTAATTTGATATTGTCCACGACCATTATATGCGAATGTACCAAGGGGACCTTTTACCTCGATGCAATCACCAATACGTAATTCTTCCATATGCTGAGACATTAATCCGCCATTTGGATATTTTGGATGTGTATTCTTGAAATAAACTTTAATAAGTAAATCAAAGTATCCTGGAGATATTTTGATTGGCGTATAGGATCGAATAACAGTTTGTTCATTTATTATAGCACGAATCAAGAAATGATTTCCTATTGGCAAGTCAAGATGATTTGGAGACTGTAAAGTAAATCGGAATATACGTGTATTATTATTAATACATTTTTTATCGGTTAGAGAACATGACAACCATTGAATTGTCGATTGATTTGATATTTTTTTTTCCGATGACTTTGGCATATAAGTATCAATTAAGTCACCGATATAATAATCAGATAGCATTGATTTCGCTTTAGAAGAATGAATTGCATTGAAATCGCCTGAACAATCCGTTCCAGCATTCATTAGAATGCTATCAGCACCTATTAAAGTCAAATTAATAAAGTTTATAAGAAATACATAAGTCATATAAATAAATGGTATTATCGACATACCTCCCGGATGCTGTTCGAGAAATTTCGTACAATCATAGACCCTTTTGTCTACAATTATCCAACAATCTTCTTTAGAATCATGTTTCGAAATCTGATCAATAGAAAATTTGGGCATGCCATTACCAGGCTCGTCTTTTTTGGGAGGCGTAGAATTTAAAGAATCGTCAGGCTTGGGCATCCAACCACCAGGATTTTCACCAGGTTGGGTAGGGTGTGCGAACAGTAAAACCACATCACTTCCTTGGGTTATGATACTAACTTTTACACGGAAATGACAATTATTCATCATTCCCATAACATTCCAGGTGATGTCCTTAGGTTGTGTGTTCTGCGAGGCGTCCCATGCTCTTACACAAATTTCTTCATAACGAATAAGAGAATAAATAGGAACAGATATCGACCAAAAAGCCCAACACCAATATCGCCGAATTGGATTTCTTTTTCTTTTTAGAACATTCGGGTGAACAATTTCAGGGTGAGTGACATTAGTTAAAAGCCAAGAATTGCCACCATCCAATGAAACTTCAACACGAATAACTTTACGACCACCTCCAGTATAAGCATAACCTTTGATATCGTAACTAGAGGTGATATCAGAACTTGATAATTGTAAACGTTCATCATGTGCTGGTGAAGTTATTACGGAATTGATGTTAAGCTCATTTATAATATAATCTGGAATATTCCAAATTTTTTCTTTGGTGGCACGTTCCGCATCATATTCAGGAGGAAGCACACGATTATCATGATGATGATAATAGCTATCTGATTCTTTATTTGATACTGTAATTCGTGTTAACCATTTAACCATCCTTCCACCAATAGCACCAGGAATGATGAGACGGATAGGAAATCCATGATCTGGTGTTAACTTTTCGCCATTCATTTCATAGGCCAATATAACATCATGAACACTGCTCATAGACCATTCTAATGGGAGACTTGTGCCATAATAACCATTTGGTAATTTGTCAGCACCCTTAAAACATACATAGCGAGGTTCTTCAGAATCATCATCAAGACTAACTCCAGCCATCTTTAAAACATAGTTTAATGGAACGCCTTTCCAAACAGAAGTGCTCACAGCTGCTGCACCCCAATTGAAACCAATTGATTGCTTTATCATATTTTCTTCCTTCCTTCTGTTTCCAGCGCAAACAAGAGTCACGGGAATTTCAATATAAGGAAGATTTACAATATCATTCATTGATAAGTCCAAAGGTTTTGACACGAGTCTACACAAATTATTGTAGGAAACGATGGTTGGTTAATAAGAAATGACATTTACATAATAGAAGAGAATTTAGTAACATGATAATATATGAGAGTATCAAACAGCAATGTTAATAGATGGTTTTTACGTTCATTGGAATTATCTATACAGGATTTACTTGGTATTATTGTTCATATAAGATCATTAACATCATTATTTATACTCTGTATACTAAAATTTTTGCGTGCATTACACTTGATC